TTGGAAAGGCATTTCAGTAGTGGCTAACAATATGACCAAAAACACAGAAAGAATACCGGAGCAGGTATCCTAATTTAGCAAAATTATGTGATGGTTTTTGGGAGATGAATTTCATTTTGTAGTTATATTCAATGTTATGGATTTGTGTTAAAATAAACAAAGTTTTGTAATTTGCTTAAAATACGGTAATTTTAAATAAACATAACATTAGATCATTGCAGAGTAACTCGAGTTTTTAATTCACCTGTCCTCTCTTTGTTTTAACAGAAGTCCATGTAATGCTGGATGGTCTGTTACCTCCTGACACCTATTTTAGATTTAATCCTGTGATGTGTGAAAACATACCTCTAGATGAAAGTCGAAATGAAAAGCTGGATCAGCTGCAGTTGGAAGGGTTGAAGTACATAGAAAGAAATGAAGAAAAAATGAAAAAACTTGCAAAAATATTAAGTCAAGAAAAAACAACTCTGCAGAAAATTAATGATTGGATAAAACTAAAAACTGACATGTATGAAGGCCTTCCATTCTTTTCAAAATTGTGATGAGTGTGTGCATATGGTCTCATAACTGAATGCCTGTTCAAAAGAGCCACATGATTCAGTAAGGAATTGTGAGGTTCAGAACGCGTGAACTTTAATGCTTATGAATTCTGGGGAATCCTGAAAAGACAGTGTTCAGATCAGCTTACACAGTCCAGAGAGGGTCTTCTTGGTAAAACAGTTCATATGGGAATTAGGTTTTTATGATGTTAGTCATTAACTGTGCATCTTACCATGCTAGTTGATTTTAGTACATATTGATGTTATATTGTTTGATGTTTGAAAATTTATTAATATATGTGCCAAACAAGAACAGAAAACTGTCATTATTATACTTGGTATTTTTGCTGTAGTCACCATAATCATGTTAAATGTATTTGATGATTGATTTTCCTTCATGTGGAAAAGCTAATTTCTTAAATTAATTTATCACTTGAAACATCACTTACGTTCTCACTAGCTACGTTCTGCGGTCCAAATGTTACCTTCCGGTGTTGTAGTATCATCTAAACAGATGCAGAAAAATGGAATTCTCTCTATCATAGGACTTTCACATTTGAAATATGAAAGAACTGGGTACAATTTTCTATTCAAAATTTGTCTGTTTCAACACTGTTTGGTTCAAAAAGGTAGGTGAAGTTCTAATCAATCACTTTTCCCCCCTGAAATTTCAAGATAATGCTGTCTGTTAACTTTTCTAGCTCTGGCTTATCATTCACTGTTATGAAATTAATTATTTGAATTTACTGAGAAAATATCCCTAAAAATAAACTTGAAATAATCTATTAAAGGGCTAATGTCATTTTTAAATTATTACTCATAATGTAGCTCTTCATCTCTTTCTAGCATTTGAATATACCTGTCCACAGTGTGCATTAAAAAAAAGATTAGGCTGGTTTTACCTTAACTCCTTTAGCCATCTGGATTTCACGGAGGTTAGTAACATAGACACCAACCCAAATCATTGTTTATGCCAACCAGATTCAACTTCGTTGTGTTATCTGTCTGCCATGTAAATCCTTCACCGTGTTTAGATTTGTCAAGAGAAATGAAGAAAGGTGAGTGCCCTTTGCTTTGTGCACGTAAACTAGAGCTAAACCCGTCCAGATTGTCATACTGCGTCTTTGCAGCATTGGTGTGTAGAGGCGGTGACGTGCGGTTCACAGAGCTAGGGGAGCCGCGAGTCTGCATGGGAATCGGACTCTGAAGCAGAGTCCATCTGTTTGTGATCTGGAGGAGGGCGGACAACCCCTCTGGGCTCCAGATATTTTACTTGTTAGATGAGGGATGCTAGCTCTAAAATTGTATTTACTCGTCTTTTATGGCAACTGAAAAGTGAATTCTGCAAATGTACAAGCAAAAGACACGAAGAGGTGTGATAATGAATTTTCAGTCCTATGCAGGTTAAAAAAAATGCTCTTTTCAAAGAAGCAAAGATTGTTTATTTCAGAAGTAAAATGTAGTAAATTATCCATCTCATCAGTGATTTTAAAAATACAGAAAATAAAAATTGCTCTGTAGCTCAGTCCTTTGGGGGTGTTTGAAAATTCGTATTTCTGTAAGGAATACTATGCTGGTATATTTCAGTTCTGTTCTTGCTGCTGCTGTTATTCTTTATTAAAAATAGTCCCTCAGATAAAGTTGTCCCTAGAGGCGTATGGGCTGGGTGAGATTTCCCCTAGCGGGTGGGGAGAGCCTGGCCTGGGTTGTAATTGCACTGTATGCTGCTTGCTCTCCCACACCACATTCATCCAGGAGAAAGTGGTGTCAAAGGAACCTCTGAAAGGGAAGGAAGTCACAAAAAGTGAGCCTTTAGTCCGAGGGGGTGGGATGGTGGGGCTCCCTTTGAGCTTCCCCCAACAGCAGTTACTGACAACTGCCTCCCCTTTTCACTTATTATAGAGCCGCTAATGACCGAAGTAGCTAGGACCCCTACAATTCACAGCTCAAAACGTCACCAACCTGCTAGGCTCTAGAAATAATTCTAGTTACAGTTTTAAGTATTTCACAGCTATCAATGCTAGTAATGTGACTAAAATCATCACTAACATCCAAATTATAGTTTTTAGATATAGTGTAACTATGAAGCTATCAAGGATTTCTAAAGACACTGTAAAATAGTCCCTTCAGACCACAAGTATTGCATATTCATATGCAACTAGAACAACTTGTAAGAAAAATGCAAATAATTGGAAATCAGAATACTTCCGAGTATTCATTGTAATAAAACAAATTTCAAGCACAATGAAGTATATTTAATGTAATTTACATGGTTGCAACTTATTATAAGGTCATTCTTGACCTAACATGATGAAGTTCTGTTTTACAGCTGAAGAGAACTGTCCGTCCCTTGTTCGTGCTTGGCTACTGATTTCCCTCGTGAACAGTACAACATGCAAGTGTACTCTGACCGTAGCTTTTTTCTTAAACCACACGGCATGGCACCCAAGGATGTTCCCATTCCCAGTCCCTATTTCTTCAGCTCTTTTCTCTCTTCAGCAAAAAGTACACCCAGTTGGGTAGTGCACCAATTTTTGATGATTCTTGTCTCCATTTGTACTTGAAACTGATTATCTGAAGAACTGTATCATTCACTTGAGATAACCTTCACTTTATAATGAAGCCACTATTTTCTTTTGTTCAAAAGCAGAGTGGATTTCTTTTCAGGAAAGAAGAGAAGTAAAGAATACTCTTCTGAAAGATGAACACTCCCTACCAAGTAGGTTATGGATTCTTCACTGGACCGTTTTTAAAGCAGAATCAGTTCTTTATGAGAAGAATGTTTTAAAGATAGATAAATGGTCTAACTAGTTTCCTAAAGTAAACAAACAATGATCAAATGAGTTAAATGTCAAAAAAGAAATCAGGGAATTATTCCTTATTTATTTATATCACTTATTCTATAAGATTTAACTGATGTCTTTGGCAAATAGTTTATGCTTCTTGATAAACTTTATTTAAATCAACTAGTTTTCATTTATGCCAATGGATATATCTCATTTAAAATTTTCTGAGTTTTAAAAAAATACGGCAAATGTGTGCCTTGCAAGTGGCTATAGTTAGAAAAGTCTGAATGAAAAACCAAAATTTATCCCCTGTCAATAGTTTTATTACCACTAACTTTGAAAAAGTTTAGTTGTTTTTTTTTTACCGTTAAGGGAAGTTTCACAGCTCTGAAAGTAGAGAAACATAAATGTGTTGTAAGTATGTTCACATCTATAGAGGAAACGTGAATATTTTTGTGATTGTTATAGCTAATATCCAGCACTTAGATGCCAGGCACTATACTGAAAGCTCTGTGTCCATTATGTCATTCTGTTATTCATATCCCTGTGAAGGAGGTACTATTATTCCTGTTTTTCAGCTAAAGAAACCAAGGCTATCGAAAGTTAAATAATAGTGAAATAAAAAGGAAAATTATAGACATTTTAAACTTTTCCTTTTATCTCTCCCAGTTAGCCAAGTTCAAAAGTTCATTTTTCATTGTGCAAACATTTATTGACTGCCATCTTTATTCCAGGACTGACTTCACCCTTTACACCACTCATATTTGATCATTCCTGCCTTCACGTGAAGTATCTTTTTTCCTTTCTTTTTCACAACTTTATTGAAATGTAATTTCCATACCAAAAAGGTCATTCATATAACTGTACAATTCAGTGCTACAAGTAGATTTTATAGAGTTGTTCAACCATGGACAATCCAGTTTTAGAATAATTCCATCATCACACAAATTTGTTCCATCACACACTGAATCTGTTCCCTCATGCTCATTTGTAGCCTATTCTCTGCTCCTGTCCCCAGCCTCAGACAACCACTGGTGTGCTTTCTGTCTGTATAGATTTAGCATTTCTAGATATTTCATATAAGTGGAGGCGTACAGGATGTAATGTTTTGCATCTGGCTTCTTCCACTTAGCGTGCTGTTGAAATTCATCCAGGTTGTAGGAGGTATCGGTAGCTGACTGCTTTTCATTTCTAAGTACTGTTTCATTATATGGGTAGGCCACGTTTTGTTTGTCTATTCACAAGCTGATCATTTGAATTGTTTTTAGTATTGCCCATGGGGAATACTGCTGCAAGGAGATTCACATACAAGCTTGTGTGAGGACCTGTGTTTTCATTTCTCTCAAGTAAAGAATCTGGAAGTGGAGTTACAGCAACAGCTGTATGGTGAGTATGTGTGTAGCTTTCAAGAAACAGCCAGTTTTCGAAAGGGTCTGTACCATTTTACATTCCCATCAGCAGTATGTGAGAGTCCCGGTTTGTACACATCTTCTCCAGCCCTGGATATTTTCTGTCTTTTTAATTATAGCCACTCTAGGGGATGTGTAGTGGTATTTCACTGTGGTCTTCATGTGCAGTCCCCCGATAGCTATCGATGTTGAGCATCTGTTTAGGGGATTATTAGTTATCTGTGTATCTTCTTCGGTGAAATATCCATTCGACTCTTTTGCAGATTTTAAAATTGGTTTATTTGTCTTATTATTGAGATGCAAGAGTTCCTTATGTATTCTGGATACAAGTCCACTATCTGGGTTGTCTTTTCATTTTCTCAATCTTTTAAGCAAGCATGTGAGTTTTTAATTTTGATGAAGTTCAGTTTATCAGTTTGTTCTTTTGAGTTAATTTTGTGTATGGTATGAATAAGGGTCAAAATCCTCCTTTTTTTTTTTTTTGGCATAAGGATATCCAGTTGTCCCAGCACTGAATTGTCTTTTTATTTTTGTCAGAAATCTGTTGTCTGTATATTCGTGAATCAATTTCTGGACTCTCTTTGTTCCATTGATGTGTGTGTGAATCCTCTACCAGTACACACTGTCCTGGTTCCTATAGCTAAACAGTAAGTAAAACCAGACGGCACAATTCTTCCAACTTGTGCTTTTTCAAAGTCATTTTGGCTTTTCTGGTTCCTTTGCATTTCTATATAAACTGTCAGTTCACACACACGCATAGACACACCAAAGCGTGCTGGAACTTTGGTAAGGATTGCATTGAATGTATAAAGCTGGGAGAACTAACATGTTAACAATGTGGAGTCTTTCAGTAGTGTCTGTCCTTAAAGCAGACAATGAACATGGACTATCTCTATTTTATTTAGATATTAAAATTTTTTTCTCAGCAATGTTTTGTAGTTTTCAGCATGCAGATCTTGCACTCCTTTTATAAAATCTATTTAAGTATTTTTATTAGTTTTGATGCAATTGTGAATGGGATTGTTTTAAAATTTCATTTTCTGATTGGTTGTTACCAGTATGTGGAAATACATACGTGCAATGATTGCAACGCTGGTGATAGTGTGATTTTCCATCTTATGAATTGTCAAATTGGTGGTGTCACAGTGACTTAATCCGTGAAGGTATGGACCAGGTGTTACAGATTGTGAAAAATAATTGCAGTGTTATAATGGTCTGTCTGGTAACACATGACTGTCACAGTTCTGTGTGGTTTTTCATCTCTGAACAGTGAACATCTATTTTAAATGTTCAATTCTAATTGTACAACAATATGTATATATATTAAATTCCCCGTTTACATTACTGTTATTTTGGCATAAAGGTACTTAAATCTCTGGAAATACTGATTTAGAATAATTTAGGTCCCGAATTCTGGATTAGATGATATTTTATTGTTTCAGGCACTTAATTACTGAGTTACATTTTGACATTTTATCTTATGTTATTTTTATGTTAAATGTTTTGAATTTATGTCTGATTAAATATGTTGAATTGGGTTAGCGTTCATAAGAATATGAATTATAGGCTATTTTATGGAAGATCAATGTGTGAGGT